AAAGATGAGGCTTTCTACTCCCGTAAAGATTTACACCCTCGGAAACCCTGTACAGGGTCGCTATGGGTCGGAACCGACTCGACGGCACTTAACAACAACATAACAACTCATACACATGTGCTTACATATAACAGTATATGTACATATACACGTGTTTATATATACAATATGTGTACATTGTATACTTATGTGTTTATATATACACATATATGCATCTATACACACGTGTATGTATACACAGTATGTATAGATATATACTGTGTGCATATATGTGTGTGTGTACAATATATGTACACACATACATCTATCCACTCACGTGCGCATGCTCATGTATATATATACAGTATGTGGACATATGTATATTGTGTGCACATATATGTACAACATATTCACAGGCACATACACAAACACTTTTGGTGAGTGTGCTCATGTAACTACATAATATATGTACACATCTACTTGCTCATGCTGCGTGTGCTCATATATACACACACACACACATATATATATACACACACACAGGATCTGTACACACATACACTGAGTGTGCTCATGTAACTACACACGTATGTGCACATCTACTCGCTCATGCTGCGTGTGCTTTTATATATATACGTATACACACACATGCAGGACGTGTACACACATACACTAATGAGCATGCTCATGTAACTACACATTTGTGCACATCTACTCATTCGTGCTACATGACTTAGGAGTGTGCATATACATCCACAGGGGAGTGTGGGGATGGGACAGGATGGGACGGGGCACTTGTCCTCACCGAGGCCGTCCTCCCCCTGCAGCGTCTTCTGCTGCCTCTGCCTCAGTGGCAGCAATGGCTGAGACGACATGAAGGCAGATGCCCCTTTCCCACTACAAGACGAGCAGGAGAGAAAACAGTCATGCTCACGAATACAGGAACAAAAAGGCCACTGTGAGTCCTGGCTCTTTGGGGAAAACAAAAGGACTTAAAAAGGAACCAGAGAGAACCAAGAACTTCACACCGCGGACCAAAGTCTCCAGGTGTCAGAGCCGCTGGGTCCCACATGTGGCAGCATCCTGAGACCCGTGAACGACTTCAAGCCCCCCGGAATCAGTGAGCGCTTGAGCTTCTCATCCAGTTCCATGAAGTCTCTTCTCCCCACCTGTGGACTCTCAGGCCGGGCCCACCCTTCTCAGAAGGGCCTCCTTAAACAGCTACATCTCAACACCAGTCTTCCCATGGCTCTCTCCCCAGGACCAACACTCCTGAGGTCACGAGGCAGCATGCAGGCTGCCTGCATTCCACCAGACAGGGCCTAGGGATCCCATCTCCTCGCTGAAGTCCATTTCAGTGGACACTGCCCCAGGGCTTGAGACCTCTTGTACTTTGTGTGACGTCAGCTAAGTCTGCCAGCACTCACCCATGGAGAGGGGACAGACTTACAGACACTCTGACTCTTCCAGGTGCAGGTGGGACCGGGCACAGACCTCAGCGGGCAGCTGTGTGGGCGGCTGCAGGTCAGCGGGGCTGGCCAGGAAGCTGCGCTTGGTGGCATTGGAGATGGGAACAGGAGGTCGGCTGCTTTTATGCTGTAACACAGCTTTAGCTGCAAAGAGCAATTTTATAGAATCAAGTCCGATTGCTTATAGTTCCTGAAAACTCCAGCAAGCAGCGCTGAAGAAGGCCCGCAGCTTTTCTCTGAAACCAAGCTCCCCTAAACAGCTTCAAATGCCCCAAATGTGTCTCGAACGATGAGTACTCTCAGAATGGTGCCGGCTTAGAGACTACGTCCACATAGGAGCAGTGCACGCCCTCAGAAGTGGAAACATGCCAGGTGCGTCAGCTGAGGTGGGCCCTGGGCAGCAGTGCTCTCGGCCTGCGTCTCACCCGAGGCTGGACACCGGTGCCAGCTGAGCGATACCAGGCCGCTCCCTTAGGGCAACATGTGGACACCGGGAGCAGACACTAACCTCTGTGACCCCTCCTCCAGGCCATCACTCCCAACCTTGACCATGAGGAGGTGGCCAGGAGGAAGGATAACAGTGCAGGGCTGACCACTGCCCAACAGAAAGGCGGAGAAGGGCGGAGGCACAGAGTGGGGCTCGGCAGCCCTGGTAGCTGGACAGGTCTCGGTGGAAGACACAGCACCATACCCCAAGGCTGCCTGTCTGTAGGAGCGAGTCCTGGATGCCAGGGGAGACAGAGCTCTTCCGACACAGAACCCCAAACGCCTGCATCCCGTGCGGTGGCGCTCATTCTTATGAGCAGACTGCTCCTACCTGGCTCATCTCCAGATCACAACCAGCACACAGAAGACAGAGAACCCCAAGCTTGGCTTGCCCCCCATCAAACCCACTGCTCGAGTCAATCCCAGCTCCTAGCAACCCTGCAAGAGAGAGGTGAGCCACCTCAAAGTGTCTACAAGGCTGCAGTATTTACAGGGGCAGACTGCCTCATCTTTCTCCTTGGGGGGCAACTGGTGGGCTTGAACCAACAGACTTTGGGTAGCAGTTAAGCATGTAACCCACTAAGCCACCAGTATGTCATTGTTGATAAGTGCTGTCGAGTTGGTTCCAATTCATAGCGACCCTGTATAGGGCTTCTGAGGAGCAGCTGGTGGGTTTGAACCTCCGTCCATGCAGTTCAAACCAACCTGGTGGTACAGTGCTTATCTGACAGTCCCACAGCAAGACATTCCAACCCAAACCCAAACCCACTGCAGTAGCATCAAACAATCGGGAAAGCTGCGTATGGTGGGAGGCTGTCCGAGACAGGAAACCCAAACATCTCCCACTAATGGGTCATCTGCAGCCCTCAAAGGCACACAGGCAGCCCTGTGGGGTTCAGCTCTCGTAAGCCTAGTGTGTGAGGGCGAAGCTGATTTCACATGAAGGTAGGAAAAGGGAAGGGAGCCCAGGGCAAAGAATTCACTTTGCTTCCCACCCTTCAGACTAAAATACAGCGGCTCACACACAAAGTGCCCCCAGCAATATGCAGTTTAAGGAAGAATTACAGCCCAAACCCCACCTTACCACAAGCTTTACAATAAGTGGGCCAGAAGGTGACAAGGACCAGTCTGTGCCGGTCTATTCCTCACCCATCAGCACCATCTCCTGCTTCCCTGCACCTCAGCACTGGCTCTGGGGCGGGTAAGAGGAGCCCTTGGGGTACAGCGGGCTGGGCTGTTCACCAAAAGGTCAGCAGTTCAAACCCAGCAGCTGCTCTGCTCCATGAGAAAGAGCTGAGGTCCTGCCTCACTGCTGCCCAGCACCCCACAACCTCACCTGACTGCAGACAGGCCCTGGGACTTGAGGTCCCGGCGGGGTACATGTTTGGTACACTCGGGGTGCACACAACACTCACTGGCAGAGGCCCTGCACAGCCCCGTCTCCTGCCCCTGTGAGCTGGTGCCTGTTTTCTAATGTGTGCCAATGCAGGGAGTATGTGTGCCCAATCCCTTCCAGACCCCTGGTCACAGACGAGGCTGAGCCCACCCTCTCTCTCTCGGAGGAGCACCAGCTCTTCCCCTGGATACCAGCTGCATGGATCACAAATACTGTCTCTCCTCCGTGGCTAGCTAGTTGTTTTTTTTTGCTTGCTTGCTTTTTTAGCTTATTTTGTCATCTTTTGGTGAAAAACCAAAAGTCTCCATTTTAAATCAGCTGGATTTCCCATCTTTCCTGAGTAAAGCATTTTCGTGCTTCATTCACCCCTTACTAGCTGGAAGTCAGGACGCCCTTCTCCGACGCCCAGACTCTGTGCTGTGGGCAGTTCCTGAGGAAAGGCTGAGTGGCCTTGTTTGGGGGGAGAGCAGTCAGGGTGAACAGCAGCACCCAGTGAAGGGGGCCCCTAGAGGCCCAGGGTCCTGGCCCAAAGATGCAGGGCCCAGAGCCAGACAGCCTCCAGCTGAGCGCTGAGGCCGTGTCTCCCTACCTCCAGGAGCAAGTCAAACACACTCACCGCTGCTGTACACAACACTCACCATCTTTCAGCTCCTGAACGTCCCTGGGTTGGACAAATTCTGGCTTGACATTCTCAAACCACCAGAAAAGCTCCGCAATAAAAACCATAACGTTCGGCTGGAAGAAGACAGGGTGGGGGGGCACCATGAGCAGCGGACCCACACAGGGGGTGAAGCGCTGTGTGGAGAGCGCGCCATTACCTTCAGCACTAGGGGCGCGTACAGCATGTCTTCCAAGGTGAGGTGGAAGCATCTGTTAAGATATTCGTTTGAGAACTCTCTGAGAAGTCGGATATTATACAGACTGTCAGCCATCGACGTCACCTCCTTCAGGCATATATCTAATCGACAGAAAGAAAATTAAAGCACATTACAAAGACAGTGAGCTGCACCAATCAGGTAACCAGTCTGCACTGTGAGACGCTTACAGAGAAGCTTGTGGCAACACTCACCCAGGGACCACCATTAAGAGATTTCAAGGAGACAGCAAGTACCACAAATGGTGCTCAGTCTGGTGGGAAAACATCGGAGGCAAAACAGGGCCCGAGAGGTGGCCAGGGCCACCCTGTAACTAGCTTTCTAGAATGAGTACTACAGGTGACTTGGTTTTTAAGATTGGACTACGGCCCCTTCCCCAGTCGGAAGCCCTCTGCAGGAAGATGTCTCTCCCCCCAACCCCGTGAGAAACGGATGCTGTCCCTAAGAGCGAACTCAGGGGACTGTGCAGTGTGGACGCGGGCCCGACTCAGAGTCTGTGGACACCCTCACTCGGGAGTGCCCGAGAGGCAGCCCAGGGTGGACAGTACTAGGCAGCTGGAAGAGCAAGGGGGGGAGGGGGAGCCTCTCCAGATTAATGAGATAACAAAACCAGCTGGACTTCAGACTGCAAGTTACTACGCCCCAGACATTAAACACATGAAACCAGAAAACCGGAGAAACAGAACTTCAGTACATTTTGTGGTTTAAGTGCCATGGAGTCGATTCCGACCCATAGCGACCCTGGGCAGGGTTTCTGAGGCTGTAAATCTTTACGGGAGCAGAAAGCCTCATCTTTCTCCTGTAGAACAGCTGGTAGTTTCAAACTACTGACCTTAAGGTTCGCAGCCCGATTCGTAACCACTACGCTACCAGAGCTCCTTTAAGCCCACTTTAAAGGGGGACAAAACGTGTTTAAGGGCTCGGACGTGTGTACAAATCCAGATGCCCAGCCCCGGGTTCATTTATGCGGTCTGCTCTCCAGGGCCCCCCAGAAATCTGTCTCCCCAAAAGCAAAGCGGCTGGGCATGCTGGATTATGTACGTCAGCTCGTTAACACTCATTAATGTGGTCAAGACGAGACCCCACTCTATGGCACCTTATCTGTTCAGGTCTTATTTTCTTTAAGAAATCAAATACTGTCCAGCCTGCCCCCTCCCTAGAGCTGGTGTTTTCACAGCACGTGGTAGCTGTTGTTGTAGGGTGCCACCCAGTCAGCACCTACTCACAGTGACCTGAATAGGGTTTCCATGAGTGGCTGGTGGGTTTGAACAGCTGACCTTGCAGTTCGCAGTCCTGTGCTTACCCTATAGCACCACACTGGGGGCTCCATTGCACGTGGTAGTGTACATCCATACACCATGAACCCTCGACAGTGGAGGCGGTGGTCCTGGTTTGCTGAATCTGTATAAATACTATCAAACTCTGCTCTCATTCTGCAGCCTGGCTCTTCCCCAACTTGGAATGGTTTCCAGTGGGCCTGTGCTGAGTCGGAGGGCCTCAGTCACTCATGCCACCAGCGTCCGCCAGCGTGCTCTCTCTGCTCATCCACATCCACCTCCACGCTGCTCCCCTCACAGCCAGCCTGCTGGGACCACCACGCTCCCATGCATGAGAAATGTCCCTTTTTGAAACAGCGTGTCCCTGATTTCCAGCTGTGGTTCTACCTGACCCGCTGACTGGCCTGTTGGTGTCTCATCTCTGGTTGTTCATCTTGTCTCCCACTCATTATACGGCTTCTTTCCACATTGTGGCCATAAAAGAATCCAAAAGGATGTCCGTTTATACTTGTTGCAAATAAGCGCTTTCTCATTCTTTCCTTTTAGGTAAGTTCTTGTCACTGGATAATTTTACATTTTAATATGGATGGTTACATTTAACAACTTGTCTATTATTTGTGCTTTTTGCAATTTAAGTAATCCATCCCAATGCAATGCCATAAAAGTACATTCCTTACTTTCTCTTCAAACTTTCTACATTTTGGGTACCAGGCCCATGTCCACGGGAGTGAGGGGGGGGGAGGCTTCCTCGTGTCTGTCCCTGTGTCCGACCCCCACACAGAGGTCTGTCCCTGTGTCTGACTCCCACACAGAGGTCTGTCCCTGTGTCCGACCCCCACACAGAGGTCTGTCCCTGTGTCCGACCCCCACACAGAGGTCTGTCCCTGTGTCCGACCCCCACACAGAGGTCTGTCCCTGTGTCCGACTCCCACACAGAGGTCTGTCTGTCCCTGTGTCCAACCCCCACACAGAGGTCTGTCCCTGTGTCCGACCCCCACACAGAGGTCTGTCTGTCCCAGCTCAGTACACAGTTGTTTCAGTACATGTGCCACCCTGAAGCCAAACTCCACTGATGCTCATGTTGGAGACAAGCAAAACTTTGCATTTGTAAAACAAGTACCTTACTTTCTCATTCTCCAATGTCAACTTGGCTATAATCTGGGACAATTCAACCAACAAACTTAAAGTGACAGTAGTAGGTGAGAGTCTGCTTTAAACTGGGTGCTGAGGCTGTGGGCAGATTAACGATCCTGAGGCCCTCACTAAGAGGGGGTGCTCGCTAACAGGGCTAGAGAAGCAGCTCTGCAGGCTACAACCAGTGGGTGAAAGACGGAGGTAGGCAGTGTCTCAAAAGTCTCACCCACAGAGTTCCAGCTGATTACACAGCCCAGCCCAGCACACACAGCTGTGGACCATCAACAGACACCATCTGCCCCTGGCTGGCCACACTCCATCTCATCCTAAGGACATGCGGACAAGTCCGAGTGGGCGCTGTCCACAGACTAGCTGCCCCTACTCTCCAGATTCCCATTTGGGGAAGGCTGAGAAACTGTCCCATTTGAAAGTAATGGCAACATGGCACAACCGTGTTTCTGGACTGAGAGCAGCAGGAAAGGACAGGGCTGGGACGGTGGACAAAAGCAGACTGGGACTGCCCCTCAAAGCTGTCTCACTGTGGACGCCCCTGAAGGTCAAAACACTCACGGGTGTATTCAAGAGTGGGAGAAAGGACTCAACAGACGAGACACCTTACAACCTCAGGACACCAGCCACGTGCAGAGGAACCCTGGTACCATCTCTGCAAATTCCAATGTTGTCAAGGTGAACAGCCACAAAAATAAACTTGGCTATTTTGGTCCTTACTCCCTTACTCTTCCTCATGAATTTTTTTACACTTCCTTTTCAGTTCTGTAAAAACAAAGTTCTCTCTAGAACCATCTGGGGAAATGACCACTTTCGTAATACTGCTTCTGGTCTTCTTCCTCATGCTGAGGGAGAGTGTCAGCACCCACTCTGCGGGGTGACTTGATCCCCACATACTTGACAGGCACGTCCTCACGCAGTGTGCAGGGTGGGCTCCACGCCCCTTCTCTGCAGGGCCGTCTCAGGGACTCCTGCATAGCTTCATTGTGACGCAGCTCTGCTGTCAGTGGGCTTGGACCACCACCACCGCATCCCAAGTGGGCAGAGCGTGTTCAGAAATGGCCTCCCGCACAGAGCTGAGCCCATAGAACCCTGGTGCCCTGCTTACTGCGCTCTAGTTTCTACTACGTCACATACAGAACTCTGCTGGTGCTGTAGTTTAAGCACTGGACTGCTAACCACAAGGTCGGCGGTTCAGGAGAAAGGTGAGCTGTCTGCTCCCATAAAGCTCTATAACCTCCGAAACCCTCTTCAGGGAGACAACTTCATACAGGGTGTTTCCCTCTCTCAGTGAGTGTCAGCCGTGTGCCGCTTCTCCGGTTTAACACCGCCCCAGATCAAGAGGTCCTGGTGTAGACTCCAGCAGACTGCCCCCCCAGAGTGGCCTGTGTGGGCCTACACTCTGTGTGTATGTGGGGTGGGGGGCGGTGATGAGACAGATGTGGGCCTGTCTCTTCTCAGTTCAACAGCAGATAGCCCGTTTCATCTAACGGTTCAAATGCAGGTGACAGTACTCAGCTGCTAACAGAAAAGTTGGCAGTTCAAACCCAGCAGGCTGTTCTAAGGGTTTTCTTCCACATACCAAGACTGACCACCTGGGAGAGCCTCTGGGGCAGCTCTATGTTCTAGTCTGTCGTACAGGCCGCCTGTGAGTTATAGGCCATTCAGCTGGGCTGGCTTTGGGGTTTTGAAGATCTCTATGTATGTCCTCTTGTCCACTGCAAATAGTCTGTGTTCTGGCCTCTTCCCATGATCAGTCTTTCCGGGGGTTATTTTATTAACCAACAGGCTTTATTTGCATGTTCTCAAAAACTGAAATTTCCATTGACTAATAATGTACTATAACTTTTCATTTCTATTTTAACGAGGCACATGAAGTCTTGAAAAAGCCTCAGTATGGAACAAGCTTGTTGGGAAACCCAGGACTTCTCTGCCCCACCCCCAGCTTCTCCCTCGTATTTGCCAACAAAGCGTCCTGGAGGAAGCACACAGTCAGGGGCTCCTTGGAAGTAAGGAGACGCTCTCAGAGGGACAAGTCCCTGGAGAAGGACACCAAGCCTAGGAAAGTGGAGGTCAGCTACTAAGTGGGAGACCCTGGACAGATGGACTGGCACAGCAGCAGAAGGGTTCAAACATGTCACAGTTGTGAGGGCAGAGCAGGACTGGACAGTGCACAGAGTCACTAGAGGTCCGAATCCACTCAATGGCATCTAGCAACAGAAGCGCACACCCGATAAGCCTTGCCAATCCCTAAGGGCATTACTCACCTGCTACAAAAACAGCCTGGAGACCACGTCTGACCTCCCCGGGCTTCACAAAGGGGAAGGAGAATCAAGGCCAATGCCTGAGGTGGAGGACAGCCTGGCCTTCCCCCTCCAGCCTCCTTTACCCTATTCTGACACCAACAGACGCGCCCCCAGTACTCTGCTTCACATCTGGGTTCCATGCTCCTCTGCAGTAGCCACAGAGCACTCAGAGACAACACTCAGATGATGGGGTTTATTAGGGAAGTGAAGGGGGCGGATTCAGGGTTGGAAACAGACTCGGGGGTCAGCCATGCCACAGGCACCCCTCTCTCTAGTCCTGGACCTCCCTGCCATGTGGCCCTGTGGCCTCTGCCCTGCTTGGATGAGTGGTACAAGATCCCTTAGTGCGGCGGATAAATGTCCAAAGAGCAGCCAATTCTACACACCAGCCTCCTGGCCAAAGGCGCTCAGCTGGATTCCGTCTGTGGGCCTGGAAGCTCACAGCCCTGCTCCCCAGCCCTGCCTCCCCTGCAGGCTCTCAGGCCCCCTGCGTGCTTCCTCTCTCTTCACGGTTCAGGATTACCAGTCTCCACTTTGCTGACGGCAAAACCTACCAACCCCCAAGCTAGGGTCCTGGACATTGTTGGGGGGGCATGGCACACTAAGGCTAGAAGAGCCACACCGAGTAAACTCGCGGTACCACACCTGCTATCCACTGTCAGGTGGCCGGGCTCCACGCAGCCCTCAGGCCTGCAGACCGGGCTTCACTCCAGTGAGGCCTGCGCTTGTTTCTAAAGCTTCTCTAGCCCTGCTGATGGTGTCCACGGTGGACAGGCGTGTCCCTGGGCATTCTGGAGGTCTAGCTGACAGGCCCCAGTGAGATCCGACATCCCAGGGAGTCCAAGCACTCTGATGTGGCGAGCCCTGACCGTGCAGCCCTCATCTCCTTCAGGATGTTCCTGGGTACATTTCTTGTCCTTGTGGACATAGCTCTCACTTGCTCACACACACGCTGTCCTGTCCTGGTCTCACAGGCCCGTGCCCACTCACCCACCACCATCTCTCCTGTGGCTTGTGGGATCTTCCTGGGTTTCTCAGCTCTTTGACACTGGGAGGGCGGCAGTAGCCTGAGACTGAGGGGAAACGCCAGCTCTCTGGCTCTGCGGAGACTCCCCAATGTCCGTGTGTCCTGACTTAGATAACTGGAACAACCCACCATTTAAAGTGTGGTCCCGTGGCTGCTGTGCTGAGCTGCCTGTCAACTCTGCTCGAGGTGTCTGTGGCCCCGGGAGATTTTTCTGTGGCCAACAATCCGTGTCTGGGGTGCTCAATCTGAGCTGCCAGTTTCCCCCGAAACTCACACTTCTCAGTCTGCGATGAAGCAGGGGGCAGCCCCAGGAACCTCGGAGTCACTGCATCGCTCTGTGAGCCGGCCGCTTTCTCTCTCAGGCGAGTCTCCTTGCCCAAGGCCCCCAGTAGGCAGGCCAAAGGCAGACCAGGCCCAATGCAGAAGGCCAGAAGGTGGACAGGGCCACAGAAAAAAAGTGCCAGGTCCAAGGACAGCCCCTGTCTCTCCTCGTGGCTCCTCTACACCCAAAGGATGGACTGTGTCGTTCTGTCTGGTGCCCCACAGCAGGCGGCCCCTCTATGACCTGAGCTCACAGAGCTAGCCTTGTCGTTGGCTCTGCTGTGGACACGTCCCCAGCCTGCAAGGTGTCTGCCCCGGGCCTGACGTGGACATATCCCAGCACAGCTGGTTAACTCTCAAGCTCTCCCATTCCCTCTCTACCAGGACTCCCACACCACACAGGAATGCAAACTCTATCCCTTCTGACAGGAAGCCTTCTGAGGGTCTGGTCACACTATTTATCTACAGGAACAGCATGGTCCAGCACTGTCCACGTGGAGCAGGAGGACAGAGGTCTGGTCGCTCTCTCCATTCGTCTATGGGGACAGTGTGGTCCTGTGTCCACTCCCGCCCACTCACAGGGCCTTCAAGACAGACGTATCACCACCACAACGCCCGGTCACACACGTAGGAGCTGCTGGTGGCATTTTGTAAAGAAGGGGGGTTTGTAGCCACTTTCCTATCTGTAAACTAAGTTCTAGATGCTTTTCACCAATTGCAGCCTGGGACATCCTCACACGCTCTCCGTAACACGCTGATGAAATCAGAAGCTAGTCCTCGCTCACAGTGACCCTGCTCATGGGGCAGAGAACCACCACCCACCCTATCACCTTTATGGGGGTAGATGGCCAGGCATTCTCCCGCAGAGCCACTGGGTGGGTGGTTTGCAGTTGAGTGTGTAACCAGGGCTCCTTCAAGTATAAGCCTGTGGGTCCCGACTTGTGCAGCCTACAGGCAAAGGAAGTGTCTCAGGTGGCATGCAGGCGAGCTGGGCCCAGCGAGGACTGCACCTTCACTCACCGTCCAGTCTCATGTGCTCAGGGCAGTAGTAGTGGATGACTACCAGGAGCCCTGCGCCGTCACTGCAGTCCTTCATCAAGTCCTCCAGCAGCGGGAAGAAGGGCGCCTGCCGACTAGAAAGGTGCTCTCGTCGATAGCGGACCTGCAGGGGGTTGAAGGAAGGCTGTCTCTCCCTGTGAGGCCTGGTGGTGACCATATATGTTGCAGGCAAACTGTCTGACCACACAGCCTCACAGCTAGTGCACCGTCTGGAGAAAGCTCAGGAGGTCTGGGGCACAGGCTTTGCCTGGAACATGTATGTTAAGGCCCAGGGGTCTGGGTACAACAGGGGGCTTCATGGCTGTGCCAGCTAACTGGGCACACAGAGACAGCCTGGGCCTGCCTCCCAGGAGCAGAGCGCACATCTAGACTACAGAAGCCGACACTATACACTGATGAGAAACAAGCTAAATGGTGGACATCTCGGTGCTCAGACAACCAAGCAGCTGCTGCTCTTCTCGATGTGGTCAGCCCTGCCTGCTGCCCTGGACAGAGACACGAGGCAGCACTGAGACACAGTTTGGGACATTTCAGAAACCCGGTAAGACAGACTGGGAATGAGAAAATAACCAGCCTCAGGCCAGCAATAGAGGCTTGGGCAGGTAAGCCCACGAGAGGCGATGGTCCTGGAGCGCTCAGAGGAAGTCAGGACCTGGCTACTGACCAGCCGAGCTTCCCCTTACAGACGCCACATGCCACTGAGGGGGGCTTCCAAAGGCCCACAGTAAACACATCTACACAGCCCGCCACAAGACAGCGTGATAACGTGGCATGTCCCAAGGCCGCAATTTCTCCAGACAAGAGAACGCCGTACAGAGAGTGGAGAGAAAAGCTACAGGTTGCTGAGGGCCACCCCAAAGATAAAGTGCCTCTCGGCAAGCGAGGAGTGAAAGCCGGGACCTCAGTGGGCGCTGCGGCTCAGTACAGCTTCTCACACATTCGTTTCGCTTCAGTGATGTGTGCAGCCAGGACTTAACTTGTTTCTCAGTGCCGCCGCACCCGACTCACAGAGTCCACACGTGCACGCTCCGCAGGACCAGCATGCAGACATCACCACATGCCCAGTCTCAGGCTTCCAGACAGACAGCAGACACGGCCACAGGCATGCGGTGAAGCAGATGGGGTCTCATTTAGAAATGGATGATGGGGCTCAAAAAAGGCAACACCCTCTCTGAATTTCAGGGGTCCCCTCGGCTGTAGGGTCCAATGTCAGGAGCTGATCATCTAGCCCACTCCTGTCCTCTTGCTATAAAGGGGCCTCTTGGCCACCCTCCCATCTGACACAGGTTTCTGGGGGGAGTCCCTGACTGCCCTCAGTAACCCTGGTGCAGCAGAAATACTGCGCGCTCTGGATTTTAGGGTTCAAGACATTAAAAGAATATAAGTGTCCATCAAAATGCCTTCCTCTTCTTTCTCAGACACGGTTTTCCAAGGGAAGCAGAGCGAGTGAACCCAGCGAGCAGAAAAACCGCTGCTCAAAGGGGCCCTGCTGCCGGCAGATGCCTCCCCCACAAAAGGCCTGGGGTCCAGATCAAGGATCACTTAACCAGTGCTGTTGGCCCAGGAGGCACTTCCCCACAAAGAGCGGACCTCACTCAAGCATTCCCTGGGCATGAGGGAGAGCACCCCCGCTCCAGGTAGGCAGGGGTCACCAGGGGCTGGACAGAGGCACCGGGGAGCTACAGAGCAAGGGGGACTGCCAGTTCAGCGTTAGCACCAGGGAAGGTGGTGTCAGGAAGCACCAGTCATATGGAGTCACACTTCTGTCCTCTCCTGGGAGAGGAAGTCCTGCCACCTGAGCCTACACTGATCACGCAAACCAGTAACTCAAAGGGACCAGAAGGAGACAACGCTCTACGACCCCCAAAGGCGCTGGGTAAAACTATGCTGGCTGTGGTCTACGGCCTATAGCTGAGCTGGAGCGCCAGCACACACGGGGCGGGAACAGCACAGGAACACAGACACAGGGGACAGAGCGCGGCTTTCAATGGAAGCGAGTGATGAGTGGATGCGATACGCTGGTGGCAGCTGGTCAGTTGTCCACTTACAGGCACCAGCTTCCAGTACCACTTGGAGGGAGACTGCGAGGAAGCGGGGAAGGAGGAAGGAGAGGTCAGCAGAGCACCCTGAGAACATTCCACCGGCATGTAGAGGCCGAGGCAGCAGCCCCGAGGGACAGAGCCACCGGTGGACACAACCCTCAGGCGGTGTGGTGCTCCAAGGACCAGAGCAGGAGACGAGCAGCCCCTCCACCTCGATGGTTGGTGGCAGCAGAGGACACTCAGAAACTCAGGAGAGAGGGGCCTGACTCACACAGCATGGAGGAAGGTGGGGGGAGCTAACACAGCTGCAGCCCCTGGCTAAGGCCGGGGGTGTCTCCTCAAGGGAGAGGGAGGGAGGAACTGCTAACACAGGTGCAGCCCGGGGCCATCTCGGGTGCTCACCAGCAGCAGGCCCCGGAGACAAGGCACACTGTGGTGGGGAGGACAGCGCACATTCGCAGCTGGTCCCAGGCCCACAGGGTATCTCTGGACCACACCAGAGGCTTTACGGGCAGGGACACCACCAGGTACACACTGGGCCTCACAGGCACCCTTGGGCAACGGGCATTTCTTCCCCCACCCCCCACCCCCACAGACACACACACACTGGTCCCTGTCCTGGTGCAGCAGGGGCAATGTGCCTGGCCCTCTGTTGTGCGGTCATGTGATGCACCCGCAGAAGCCCCGCCCCCCTTACCTTTTGGTGGGCGGGGCTTTCCAGCAGCTGCTGCTTCAGCTTCACATCTTTCTCTGTGATCTCTCGCATTTTCAAATTCACCTGAAATAGAAGAAAACCGCATGAAGGCGGCAGCTGCTTTCATGCCCTGGCTCGGCTCTCTGCCCTGCCACCACCTCTAGGATGCAGGGGCTGCTGGGACTCTGTGCTCCTGGGAACGTCAGGACCCCTGGCACCGTGCAGCCAGCACCCACTGCAAAGTTGACAGGGGCCACTCATGTCTCAGGACCACCAGGCAAGGCTCCGTCACACCCACGCCCACCAAGAGCTCCCTTACAAACACTCACCCTTGAAACTATGAAAACATCTCAGCAAGGTCACCTGGCAATACACAGTCCACAAAGAACGCTCTACATCCTTCTACCTGGAGGAGCAGCACCTGGGGTCTTAAAAGCTCCAAAGCAGCCATCTAAGGAACAACAACTGGTCTCTTCTGATCCAGAAGAAGAAAACTGAAGGTGTGTGGAGACAATGAATCCAACCAAGTCATGAATCTGGGGCCATGCAGAGGGCTAGATGGGGCCAGGCTAGCGCTACCAGCTGCTCTGAAAGGGAGCACATTCAAAGGTCCTGGAAAGAGCGGGAGAAAAATGTGGAACCAAACTGAAAATGATGAATCGCCCTGAGCTCCGCTGCACACACTTGCTCCCAGTCCCCGTCACACCCAGCAAGGATAGGTGATGAATGTCGGAAAACAGGCCAGCCAGCAAACAACCACCAATTACACACTAACACAACGACATCTCAATGTCTCCGAGGAAACAAGGCAGAGTGCCTCAGACAAGTGACCAAAATACAAACAGAAAAGAGATCACAACTGCTTGATCAGGGACTTAAAAGAATGCCACTGGGGTCACTTCAATGAACTGAGATAAAGACCAACGAACGAACGCAAGAAGAATTCAGGAAACCAATACCAGAACGGAAAAAAACACATGACAAGTTGGAAACCAAACAGAAAGACTCCAGAAATAAACAATACATTGAAAGGACAAAGTAGAATTGAATCAGTGAGCTTGAAGACAAATCTTCCTCCAAGAGGAACAATCAGAAAGAATAATTTAAAAATCCTAAGATTTATGTGGGACACTATCAAAGAGGAATAAGTTATGTGTGATTGGAATTCCAGAACTAATAAAACCATACAGAAAATCGTCCAAGAGTTGCTGGTAGAAAACTTTCCCAACATCACGAAAGATGAGAAGATTAAGAAAGATTAAACAAATTCCAAACAGGATAAACACCAAAAGAAAATCACCAAGACATTATAATCAAACTCTCAAACAAACCAAAGACAAGGACGAATCCTGAGAGCAGCCCCGGGAAAAGGAAAACCTACGGACAAGGAACTAACAGGACTTAAGCTGTAATTTCTCAGCAGCAAGCATGCAGCAAGACAACAATGGCAAGATATACATAAAACTCTGCAAGAAAAACATTTCCAATCCAGTGAGGTGCTGGACTTGGGGGTTAAGGACCATAGTCTGGGCGGACACCATGGTCAACTGGCAGAGCACAGTCCACAAAGACAATGTTCTACATCCTACTGTGGTGAGTAGCAACTGCGATCTTAAAAGCCCGTGAGTAGCTATTTAAGGCGCAACTATTGGTCTCTCGATGTGCAAAAGAAAGAGTGATGAGAACTGAAGAGGCTTGAAACCAACGAGTCCAACAGACCAATGGAACAAGTGACCATTAGTCTGCGTGACTCTGAGATGAGAAGAACTCGATGGTGCCCCAGCTACCACTTACTAACTGCTCTGAAAGAGAGCACATGAGAAGGTCCCAGATACACTAGAAGAAACTGTGGAACACAACTCAAAATTATATCTATCAAAGACCAGGCTTACCGATCAGAAAGAAACTGGGGGACTATGGCCCTTGACCACCCTTCAGGTCTGGAAAGGAACACACCCTCGTGCCCCAATTTTCAGTCAAGCAGTAGATGGGTGTTGGGGGTGGGGGGGCACAAGAACACTAGTAAGGTACACTCACTATAAAAGATGGGACAGTCACTCATTTAAAATCAAAAGGGCAACATGTCCCTAAGGACAAAGTTGGGAAGGGATGGGAATGAGACTGGAATGGAAACAGGCCCCACAGGGAGGAAGTAGGAAACTCGTATTGCAGGGGGGATTGCAATCATTGAGACGAAACAAAGTGTAGGATTTGTTGAATGTACACTGATGGTCTTGTCTGCCAACATTCCCTCAATTCACAATAAAAAGTTAAAAAAAAAAAACAAAGCAAAAAACTGCCAACCAAGAATCCTATGCTCAGAGGAGGGAGGGCTTGATGGCCGATAGGGTAGAGGTGCAGTGAAGAGCTCCGTCAGCAATAACACAGAATACCAGATGAAACAGGTTCAGGGAAGAGCTCCAAAACTCTGAACCACTATATATAGGAATATTTAAAAAGTTTGGAGGCATATAGCCAGGGGAACTTGTAGCGGAAGCAAGAACGCTCGTATTTTCGAACCTGTCTCCCTCAGCGGCCCAGAGTCAACAATTTGGGTGAGACCAAACAACAAGACTAAGCGGGGGGAGCAAGCAGACCCACCACAGACTGACGCCTGCGGGAACCTTGGAGACAAAGGTTGAACAATATGTTTTGTTTTGTTTTATTTTGTTCTGGGTTTTTTTTTGGTATCTGTTCATTGGCCTCTTGCTGTCTGTGCACCTCCATTCTGGTGATGAGACGGGGTGCCTGAGCGAGTGGACACTCCCCACCCCCACCACTGGAGGGTTTCTTCTACCACACATGCGCACAGATCCTCTCAGCATTTAAAGGGGCAGTCCCCACTTAAAACCAAACGGCAGCGCAAAACGGCCACAGCCAGCCCTGAACTGTTTATTAATAGAGAAAAGGCCAGAATGGGGGTTGTGGAGTGGGAGAGAGACTAAAAACAAAACAGGCTGAAAATTAAATCCTGAGTTTCATCATAACAACCAACAGCGGCATCTTCAAATTTCTCAGGCGGCCCTGAAGGCAAGAAGCTGAAAGAGGACATTAAAGTCACTCACATTAGGTTACAGTATTTTTTCTCTCTCTTCTCTCTCTTCTTCAATTATAGACTACAATATACAATTGGGGTTTTTTGCTGTTGCTGTTTTGTTTCATTGGTTCTTCCTTTTACCTTTAGGGGTATTACACAAGAAGAGACAGCAATTGTTGTCATATAATCACATGCTATAAAACCCCACAATCCACAGGCAAGAACCAATACCAACTGCCATACACCAGGAAGGCAGACAACACCTGCAAAAGTTTACTCTGATAATAATAAGAAGAGTGAAAAGGGAAGCCCATCACCTGATCACATCTACCTGGAGGCCATCAGAAAGCATAAAAAATACCAAAACACACACTCAATGAAGTATTAAGGTCACAGGTAATGACTGAACATGTCCAAGAAGCAAAAACAGATGCCCATATCAGCACATGTCCAGAAACAAGATAAAGTGACTGAGACAAATGAGCTGGAAGTAGACCTACACTCCACACTGGAAGGAGGGCAGACCTTGGAAATGTCTGAGAAGGAATGCAGAAAAATGATTATAAAATGTATCAAAACACTTCAAAGTGGAGTTGAGAAAAATAAGGAAGAAGTCAGGAAAGCACTACAGGAACAATCAAATAAGATAGATACAGCATTGGAACCAATTCAAAACCTATAGAAAGAGGTCCAAACGATTAATAACAGAGTATCAGAAATACACAGTACACTGAAAGGGTAAAGGCGTAGAACTGAAGAGATGGAAACCAGAACTAGTGAGCTGGAAGACAAATCTCTCAATACTACTAAGATAGAAGAGCAAGCAGAAAAAAAGGATTAAAAAAAAAAAAAAATCTGAAGACGGTCTAAGATTCATGTCAGACAATATGAAGAGGAATAAGTTAAGAATTATCAGCATTCCGGAACAGGAAGAATCACACAAGTCCACAGAGGAGACAGTTGAAGAGCTGCTGGAAGAAAATTCCTCCAACACCTGAAAACTGAAAAGATAAGCATTCAAGAATGATAGACCCCCAAAAGAAAATTATGAAGACATATCATAATCAAGCTCTGCAAAATCAAAGATGAGGAGACACTCCTGGAAAGCTGCAAGAGAAAAGAGAAGCGTTACATACAAAAGCAAGCAAGTGAGATTAAGCTCAGCTCTCTCAGCAGAAACCATGCAGGCAAGAAGGCAATGGGGAGACACCTACCAACCAAGAATCCTTTCTCTAGCAGAGCTGTCAATCAAATACAAAGGTGTAATCAAACTATTCCAGGATAAACAGAAGCTAAGGGATTTTTCCAAAGCCAACCCTGCTAAGAAAAAACATCCTAAAGGAAGTTCTGTGGACTGAGAAGCAACAAGAACAGACAACAACCTGAGACTGACATACATGGCAGCACCACCCAGAACTCAATCTACAGATGGAAGCGCCAAGAACAGAACAAAACTGTCAGAACAAATTCAGAGGGTCTGGGAGGTGAGTCTATGATCAATACAATTACAATGTGAAGATAAACACATAGGAACAGAGACCCAGATGGTGAGAAGGCCAGATAGATTACAGGATAAAATTAGACTGTATTAAGTGGAGGAAAAAGATCATGAAACATAAGGTAACCTCAAAGAAAATGACCACGTCACAACATACCAAGAACATGAAAATTCAAGAAGAACATGGAAACATTAAAACTATGAGGAAACTGACAAGGAAGAACACAAAAAACAT